AAACATGATTACTTTTTCTAGGGAATCAGCCTTTGTGGGGTCAGTGCCAGAACTGCAGCTTCCAAAGCTTCTATCCTAAAGTGTGTGCGTGGAGACATGAACACCAGCCTGTCATCTCTGGTTCCTATCTCATAACATGACATTGGTGGCCTTGTTGATTTAGCTGTATGGCACTTCACAGCAAACCAGTTTTTCTATCTTATTTTTTGCTTTTTGCTGACTTCAAGGCTTCGCAGCAGCTGGCTCAGCAGTTTTCCAGAGTGGAGACATCTACGAGCAGTAGCATTTTTATTTCAGTCCACAGGCTCAAATGTGGAGAGACTTATTTCCTAAGAGCTTATTATGAAAGTCCTAAATTAATCACAAGACTCCCTAGTCCTTTCCACTTTGCTCTCCTGTTAACTTGCTCTGAATTAGGAAACTAACTCGCAATCTTGATCCACGAGAGCTCTGTGATGCTCTAAAAATATGCACAGTATTGCAGTAATTGAGACAGTCTGTGTTTCACCAAAAGTTGGTTTGGTTTATAAATTCAGAAAAACACCTAGTTTGACTTAATTGTTTGAGCACATTCACTGATCATTTTATTTAATTATGTTGATATTTGGACTCAATATAAACTGTTGTTTACTGCATTTCTTATTAGATACCACCTAAGGTGCCAGCCATGTACAAAGGTTGATAGTTTTCATTGTCTTTTTTACTTCCTAGTCCTGCAGTTTGAGTTTCCATGCTTTGTGTGTTTCTGTGTATGGGGATGATATACCAGAATCGGGGGCCCTGTTCTCTGAGGCCCACAAGTTCTTCTTCTATATGTCCTTCACCATGGTCCTTAACACTGGTCTCTGCAAAAGAATGGACATTGACAGGCTAGGGAGGGATTAGAGAGTTTAAATAAACTCAGTTTATGATGCCAGGACTTTTGGCAACTAAAACATAACTCCTTTCTGTGTCAGGGCATTTACTCTTTCCCTGCAGTAGTGGAAACTCTCCAGAGTCAGAGAGTTTTTTATTATTGCATCCCTGGAGTTGAGGCAGTGACTGACATTTACTAGCAGATGCTCTGTGTGTGTGTGTGTGTGTGTGTGTGTGTGTGTGTGTGTGTGTGAGAGAGAGAGAGAGAGAGAGAGAGAGAGAGAGGCAGAGAGAGAGACAGAGACAGAGAGAATAAAACTTTATCATTTGACACACTGCAGGAAAAAAAAAAGATAAGTACAAGACTTCCCAACTCAGTTAGCACTTAATTTAATAGCTGATGAACCAACCACTATGGTTGGTTGAGATGTCATAAAATCCATGAGCTGTCATAAAATCCATTCATAAAACTTCATCTAGTTGACTCATCAGGAAATCTTTTGGTGATTTCCTTGCAGTCTATTAATGGTTTTGACAAATGTGAGAAGCATCCAGATTCCCACTCACCAGGAGGATCCTAGCAAGGGTTATTTGATAGGGGAGCTGTATAGGGGCTTTGGTGGTGGGTGAATGGATCTCATGCATGTGTCAATATGTGAAACTGTATTCCTAAAATTATATTGTTATGTAAATAAATGGTAAGTCAATAAAATGCGATAAAAAGCCTTAAGAAACCAAAATATTCCCACTCACCAGATTAGAAATGACATATTAGGAGTACATATTAGGAGTACGATTGATGCTATTTGTGGACATGGGACAACAGCAAGGACAGCCTCAGAAGGAAAGACATAAGCCATGTTACAAGAAAAAATTATGACTATAAATAAATATGATAAACTCATGCAATTTGCAGCAACATGGATGGAGTTGGAAGGGATCATGCTCAGCGAAAGGAGCCAGAAAGAAAAAGAAAAATACCGGATGGTCTCACTCATAGCAGGAATTTAGAAAACCTAAATAAGGGACCAGGAAAAAGACTAATTGCAATAAAGTAAAAATCAAAATCAACAAGCAACTATAGGCCAGAGACACACTACAGTGGGGGGCGGGGGGACAAGAAGAGGGATTAGGGTCAGAAAAAGGGGGTGGAATTGCATGGGGAATATAACCAAAATGAAAATTCATACATTATGCAAAAATGAAAAATGATGTAGGAATTGTATAAAATAAAATAATTCATAAAAAAAGATAAACTCTAACCTGATTGTGTTTGAAAAGAGTTTGTGGTTTTCTGAGACAGGATGAGGAAGACAAGATTTAAGGAAGTTTTCCTGCTGTTGTGAATGTTATTTCCTCTTTAGCAATTTGAAAATAATTTCACTTTGGCATGATTATAGATTCACAGGGAGTTGCAAAGTTCGTCCTTAGAGGTCCCATGTACTCTTCATTTACATTTTTGTTCATTTGCTTTCATCTGTTTGAGAGGTGGCTCTAAAGGGTTAAATTATTTGGCTACTAGATTAGTGTTTTCTTTTTTATTGCGATAAAGTTGTTTTACCTCATTGTTTGTATTTTGGAAGTGTAGGGTCCCCCCTTCAGGTGTTACCATGGTGCACTCACACCAAAGCACTCATATTCCATAGACAGGTATTTTTTTCTGGCTGTGATCACGACCTGTGACAGCCAGGTAAAGGTTTAGCTTTTAATGAATCATAGAGAAAACAGATGTAATTAAAAAAAGCACATTAGTCTAAACATATTTGGTGTGTACAAAGCTCTAAAAAAACCGACGTAGATTGAGAAACCTCTAGACTGCCATACAGTGATTACTATTACTATTACTAATTGTGATCACAAATCACATGCAAAGAAATTTGTAGTCTTTGTCTAAGGAGCCAAAAAAAAATGTGAAATAGATTAAATAGACTTATGGATTATATCATCAAAAACTGCATACAAACTAAATATCCAGGGAATCAGTTAAATTATAATACATTTATTCAATGAAAGAAAATATGGACATTAATCTTCACTATATATACATATATGTGTATATTTGTACCTTCACTTTATTCCTGTGACTATATGTATAGTTATGGGAAATGACCACAGTATCTCCTTTATCCTTTAAATAGTATAAAAATATTCCACTATATCCTCATTTTATCTATATTCATGTGTGGGCTCATATCCAGCGGTGATTTTTTTGTCATTTTTAACTTGACCTCAAATAACCTATGATATACTTATTACAATCGTTCTTCAGACACATTCTTCTCATTTTCTGTGGCATCATTTGCTCTTGGTTTTCTTTCTTATCCAGCTGTTCTCTTAATCTCTCACTGACTTCAATAAATGGAATAATGAGTGGCTCTGACTATTTGTTTCTCATGCTTAACTGTCTTCCTAGTTGATGTTATAAGATGTTCTTCCTTTAAATACCATCCAAATGCTAGGACTTTTGTGGTCAAAACTTGACTACTGTATCTCATGTAGGTAATTTAAATTTATCTCTTCTTCTGGTAACAAGATCAATTAATTTGATATTGACCCTTAGATAGCTGAGAGGGCTCTCAAATTTCAAATTTCCAGAATAGTATTTTGATATGTTGTCCTCCAAAAATCTGTCTCTCTCTACTCTCAGGCACCCTTATATGAACTAATTCTTGTTTGTCTTTCTGTCTTTATATCTTAACCAGGTTTCCCCTCATTCACTTGACTCCAATCTATCTCACACTGTTTTCTGGGTGTTAGATATATCAAGTTCATCCTTGACTCCGGACCTAAGTATTTGCTGCTCTTTTTCTGGGATGCTTTTCCTTCTTACAGTCTAATATAGTGTGACAGCTGTAAGAAGCATACAAAGTCTCTATTTAGCGACCCTCTTACTTTTGTAATCCTAGATTCTCCGCAGAAGTTTGCATTGTATTTGCAAAATGATGACAATCTTTTTGATCCGGGGAATTATTCTAGCAGGGTGCTGTTCTTTATGGCTTATTCTTGGAATCAGGAAAAGTTTTATCTTTAGCTGATTTTCACTTGGCTTATCTCTTCTTGCCACTCATATCTCAAATATCATCTCCTTGAAGAGCCCTTTCCTAATAACCATATGTAGACTTTTTCTCCTCCCCCAATAGTTCTCTTTATCTCATTTTATTTTATTAGTTTCATTAGTGTAGGGAATCTTCATTAGTGTAGGGAATTAGTGTAGGGAATCTTCATTCATGTAGTCTTCATTAGTGTAGGGAATCTGTCCACCTTATCAGCACCTGTGGCCAGAATACTTTTGAAGAGTTTTTGGCACAGAATAGGTGCACAGCTACATATATCTGTGCATAAAAATAAAATTTGGAAGGATATCTATATATACTGTATATAAAATATATAATAAACATATATGAAGTAAACTATGATTTGACTTTTACTTTCTACCAAGATATGCTTCAGTTAGTCTTAAATTGTTTGAAGTGAAATTTTATGTACAATTAGAAAAATTAATAAAAAATTCCAATTAAAGAAATGCTCAATAACATTTTGATGCTTAAAACAATCCGTGTTTATCTGGAAGGTGCGTTTATGTAAGATACGATCTTTCTTGTGGATATGAGGCAAGTAATGTGTTGCTACATATAGTAAAATATTCATGATTTTGTAAAAGTACTGGAGCACGAGATGGCAGAAACGTTTCACCTAGTTCTCTTTCATTTGAACTGAACTACTGTGTCTCTTATAGATCATTATAATTAATTTCTTCTTCACAAAATAATACAATCAAATCATTAAGTTGGTAATAACTTATTTTTCTTTGAATTATTATATTTTAAATCTATTTGATATGATCATCAATTGTTCTTTTAATAGACAGACTAAACTGTTAATATTAGCTGTCGTCCCCAGGTTCAAAACTTAAGTCAATATACATTCGAGAGACCTTCACCTTATCAAGTATTGCAGGTCTCTGATTGTTTTGGAACCTCTTCTGATATCTGTGGACTTAGTTCAAGGCCAGTTTTTTTTTTTTTTTAATAGGATGAACAAATAATTAATTGTTTACTTTGGTCACTCAAGTGCAGGATCCTACCCTATATAAAAAGTCTAGCTGGAGTCTCTATTCAGTGACACTCTTGCCTTTCTTTTCATAGATTCTCCTCCTCAGAAGTTTTGCATTAGATCTGCAAAATGATGGCCATCTCTTTGATTTGGGGAATTGTTATAGCAGTGTGCTGTTGTTTGTGGCTAATTCTTGGAACTAGGAGAAGGTAAGGAAAGCTTTTAATTATATTTTAGTTCACTCATTTAATATTCTGTTACTTTCATTATTATGTAATAAATTTGGTTATCTGTCCTTACAATGAAATTAAAAACAGCATTTTCTTCCTTAACTTTTTAAATTAAAATTGTTAAATTTAATTTAAATTTTAAAATGATTTTTTAAATTGTATCTAACAAAAGATATAACGACAGCTTTCTTTTTAGTATTGATATATGCCTGTGGTAATTTTAAATCTACAAACTTGTTAAACATAACTGACAGAAATTTTATAAGATCTCTGTGTTTGTAAAGGTGATGCTTGCATTAAGGGTACATGTGGTAATTGGGATCTGTAATTCCACTGTAATGGAAAAGGTTTCTCTCTATCATGTGAGTGAAATAGATGCTCTGGCTAAATAAACGTTCTCTTTTCAGCGAGTTCATATGCATTATACAATAATGTGGCGTCTGGGATGATCATTCTATTTCTCTCTTTTTGTTAATGATAATCAGCGATGGTGAATTGGAAAACTACTAAGTATATGTGACGTCAGTTTTATTTGTATGTATCATTTATAATTGGCTCAAGAATTGAAGAAATACAGATCTATTGCTATAGTTTATCTACTGATTGACTCAAAGTGTACTTGGGAGGGGGAGATGTACATATTCTTTTATGGCATCACCAAAAGCTATGCAGATTGCTATGTGTTATCTACATTTTGCAAGTTTCTTTATTCTCTAGGTATTTTAATTGAGATCTAATAGTTTGTAGTTTTAATTAAACTGAACTAGAAATTGAATTCTGTGAATTTGAAAGTAAAAATAATTACTTTATGTGAAGTTATTTCTACCAAGGACAGTGGTTTTTGTCATAAAATTAATGTTCAGATGCATAAATAAAAGCATTGAAAGTAGCATGAAAGAGCATTAAATTATACTTGATGATTCTGTCAATATTTATTTTACTCAATTTCATTTTATAATATGTTAATTTCTTAAATGAGATTTTCCTTCTCATAAACAATTATTGCAGGATAATAAAACATTTCCACGGTGAAGATTTTGAAAACTTCATTCCTGCAGTCCTCTGTTATTCAGTATTCTATATATCTTTAAAAAAAAAACAAAGGAGTTTGAGATAATTAGACAACAACATATCATGTTACTAGGTTAATTTAATCCATCATTTTAATTAAAAAGCAGGATTTTATCAGCAAAAAAGTACCTATAAACTGTATAGTTTTGAAGTTTAAAGTCAATGACAAAATTTTTAAATTCTAACGTAAATTAAAAAAGTGTGATTTCCCACATGTATTAAATATTTGTATCTTACAGGCAAATGGGTGAACCACCTCTGGAGAATGGGTTGATTCCATATCTGGGATGTGCTTTGCAATTTGGTACCAATCCTCTTGAGTTCCTCAGAGCAAATCAAATGAAACATGGTCATATTTTTACCTGCAAACTAATGGGAAACTACGTCCACTTCATCACAAATCCCTTGTCATACCAGAAAGTGTTGTGCCATGGAAAATATTTTGATTGGAAAAAATTTCACTTCTCTGCTTCTGCAAAGGTAAACCCAATTTTACACTTATATAACATCGTTTTATACCTTTTCATCTGTCAATCTCCTTAATCATTTCTATTAGGCTTAGAGACAGAGATATTGAAGAGAGTTACTCTTACCCGGAGAGTCTTAGAAACCCAGTAAATCTAATTAGATATAATATCTTCATACTTACTATTTAAAAAGTCAAATAAGTATAGCTTTGTCATTTCTTACCAATGAATGAAGGTGAAATAAAAATTTAGTCTTTATTCAGTGAGATGGCGTTCGATGAGCAGGATAGGTACAAGTTCACTCTTGTCAACAATGTCCACACAATACCCAGAGTGCATGTGGTGGTTGGAAACCTAACATTGAACAACTGTTTTATCACTCTCAAGGTACATAATTGTATAATTTTGTTTCGGCAGTGACCAAACAGTTGGACATTATTTAGTTGTAATCTAAGAAGCTCTTTTATAGAGAAAACTATTAACCAATGTTAATGAGTTTCTGTGAAGAAATTAAACATGACTTTTGTCATTAAGTAATTTGAAGTCTGGTGAAAATATATCTACAAAGACAAAAAAAAGGAATAATGATTAGAAAATATTATTGAGCAGTGACAAATTATTGTGCAACTAAATGCAGTAGCATAAGAAAAAACAGATAGCAGAGTAGTTGAGGGAAGATTCACTAAGATTCACTAAGATTTTTAAATGTGGCTGTAGGGGCAGGATGGGCACAGGGCAGGTTCTTATTATTTGAGCAGACCTTGGTAAAGGAGGAGTCCTGGAGCCCTCAGTGGCTTTCTCAGGCTTTTATTGAGCTTTTACATGTAGAGCAGCAAGCAGGTACATAGCAGGCAGGGGTCCTGGGGGGCCAGGAGGTCACTAGGCCTCCAAGCCACCCCCCGCAAGTCTTCACCCTGGGCTTCTTTCTCCCCTCTGTCTCTCTTGCCTCTTCTGCTTCTGTCCCCTGCCTCTGCTTCTCCCCGCACATCTCAATACTACTGCCATGGCCCACAGAAATAAACAAGGCAACTTATAACAATATAACAAACGCAGGTACCACCATCACGCATGTAATTCTACTGGTGGGAGGGCAGAAAAGCCTGAAAACCATGTACCCTACAGAGACCTTAAAGGAAAGATATTATTTGACAAATTATTTGTAAAATGTTATGAAATTGCATGGGGGAGACCAAGTTCCCTTTTTTGTTAAAAAAGAGAGAGAGAATTATGAAAGCACCTGATTTGTTTTTCTGTTGTTTTGTAGCACTGAGGTCAGTTTTAATTTATTTTTCCACACATTGTCTTTATTTCCAGGCATTTGGGCACAGAAACATTGACCCAAATGATGGAGATACCACTGAGAACATAAACAAAACTTTCATCAAAACCCTGCAAGGTGATGGCTTGAATTCCCTTGCAGAAACCATGCTGGAAAATCTCCAACTCGCCATGAAACTTCTGGTTGTTCCTCAATCAAAGATGCCTGCCTGGGTGACAGAAGGGATGTATTCCTTCTGCTACAGAGTAATGTTTGAAGCTGGATATTTAACTCTCTTTGGCAGAGAGTTTAGAGGTCAAGATGCACAAAAAAGACTTAATCTAAATAACCTTGACAACTTCAAGGAATTTGACAAAATCTTCCCAGCCTTGGTAGCAGGCCTTCCCATTCATGTGTTTAAAACTGCTCACCATGCCCGGAAAAAATTGGCAGAAGGTTTGCTCCACAAGAACCTGGGAAAGAGATACCACATCTCAGAGCTGGTCAGATTTATGAACGACACACTCTCCACCCTAGATGACATGGAAAAGGCCAAGTCACACCTTGCTCTCCTCTGGGCGTCGCTAGCAAACACCATTCCAGCCACGTTCTGGAGCTTGTTTCAGATGATTAGGTAACTAGTGGCTTATTTATTTATTTTAGTAGAAAGCAGAAATTCAGCATTTATTTATTTTTTAAAGATTTATTTATTTATGCGTACAAGAACTGGGGTACAGGCCAGAGGTGTGGGGGGTGAGAGGATTCACCAGGTACAGAGCAGGGAACAGAAAGGCAGATTGACTGAAATACACCATCGAGGGGAGCAGCAGGCAAGCCAGGAGAGGTCTGCTGCACCATGTGGGTAGCTCCCTGGCCGGGGATTGAACTCGTGCTGCAGTGGCTGTGGAGAGCTTCATAGGTTGCGTCTTAAACCCCTTGCGCCACCAGGGAGGCCCAAATTCAGCATTTGAACAACACACACACACACAAAGGCTTGTGCCTTAGGCTATAAACAAGATGTAACATTTATTTTATGGGTATTTAATATATACCAAGTCATGCAGTTCTCACAAAAACATAAGCAACTGTGATGAGAAGCACATCTTCTAAAAGCAGAGGCTTTCTGGGGAAAGGAATATGAGTGGGGGGGTCAATTCATGACACCTAGCCCCATAGCACTGGTCAGTCTTAACCTGAGACTGTTGCTCATCATGTCCAAATCCATGAATTCAATCTCTAATAATAAAAATATGATTGCCCATTGATGGGCAGCAAAAAGCCTATGCCTTATTCATTCATTAACAGTTTGTCTTTTTACTCATTTAGTAATTACTCTCTTATTGTTCATTTGATCAACTCTGATAACTACAGATCAAACATACTGTGTTATCGATGGGATTTAGCTAGATTTTGTCTTTTAAAACTGTGCATAACCAAAAAAAATGGTTATAACATGATTTTCTTTCTGCAGTGTATTCTTCAGAGAATTTGACATTCAGTTATTTAATTGATAAAAAATATTTTAAAACAACTTCTGAAATAATAACTTCTTCCTAATCTTCCTCAAATGTTAAAGTTTCACCCTCAATCTAATATCATATAGGTAATATTAGGCATTTTATGATACTCACACAGAAAACTTATTAGCCAAACATTTCTGAGATTCAATTTACTGCAACCCACTTACATAGCTCTTTTCCCACAACACAAAAGATTCAGTAAACTTCAATGCACTAAAATGAAGTAGCAGTCATTTCATAAGTTAAAGTGCTATGATAAACTATATATGTGGAAAAACTGTTATTCTACCTGAAATCATGGTATGACTTTGAAGTCAACTCAAATTTGCATTTGCAGTTTAGCCAGGTCTTTATAATAATTATTAACTTGCAATTTGCTGCTTAATAGCCATGCATATGAATTATTTGACCACTAAATCCTTATTAGAATCATTTATTAATAAAAACTTGGCTAAAGTTTTACTTCTATTTGGCAAAATCACTTTTAGGCAACAAGTCTTGCTAATAACCAAAGACAAAAAATTGGAAAAGACTGAAAAAAATAAAAGACCGAAAAACAAATGAGAATGTCCCTAGCTAAAAGAAGGAATACCTATTTGTAGCTCATTGAGTTTAGAAAACAGTTGTTCTCTGTACATCTTTACTTTTTTCTTAACTATTAACAGGTGCCCCAAAGCAATGAAAGCAGCTACAGAGGAAGTGAATAAAACAGTGGAGAATGCTGGTCAAAAAATCAACTTTGAAGGCAATCCTATTTATTTGAATCAAATGGAACTGAATGACATGCCTGTGCTAGGTATGCTATGTGACGTTTTATTTACTGTGTCCTGCTAATTGTCATTATATTTTATGCACTAACTTGTATTAGCTATTATGCAAAGTCTTTCCGATGTGTTTCCTTGAGTGATCCTCATGGCAGTCCTAAGACTAGGGGCTATTGCTAATCTTCTGTAACAAGTGAGGAAATACATTTGGGTTGTTACTGTCTGGGATGCAAGGGTGGAAACAATTACAATGTTAATAAGGAGATCTTAACCTTACATCTTCAACCACATCTCTGCATTGTCTCCTTTGTTATCATGCCTACCACTAATTTTATAGTTAATAGGAGTATATTATTATTATTTGATAAAATAAAAGGGAAAGAAGACCCATCAAGAAGCCATAATTAACTGTAAGGGTTGGGGATCTGATTGAAGATTATTTTATTTTTCATTCTTTATATTTTGCAGAAATACAAAAGTGTTATACTTTAAAAGAAATAGTTTTCTTTTGTCTTTATTATTTTTTTCAAGAGGAAAGAAACCAATGCATGCTTTCATGGGTAGTTTGTCTTAGGGCAAGGGACTAGGATGCACGAAGAATGGGTTATCAGTTATCAGTATATTAAATCTCCAAAGTGATAGGCTGTTTTTCCCGATTGCATTATATGCCTTGTGTCATATAAGATAAGGTTATTTTTCCATAATATGAAAGTCTAGTTCCCATTGCTGACCAAATAGATCATATCTTTATCAAGACTTTTGTTAACTCAGATTAAAAATACATTTAGATGCAACTGAATCAAATGGATCATAGCATAGTGGTAACAGCAAAAGTTTTTAAAATTTTTATCTGACCAGTTTCTCATAGTCTGTTCAGTTTTATGTAGCAGGCTCTGATGATAGTTTTTCAGAATCAATATTATGTGGCTTTTAAATACTTGATTTGCTCTTCCTTTTTCCTGCCTTCTCTCCCTCCTAATTCCTTCTTCTTTCTTTCTTTTAAAATATTTAGATAGCATCATCAAAGAGTCTCTGAGGCTTTCCAGTGCCTCCCTGAACATCCGAACCGCTAAAGAGGATTTCACTTTGCACCTCCAGGATGGCTCCTATAATATCCGCAAAGATGACATCATAGCTCTTTATCCACAATTAATGCATTTAGATCCAGAAATTTACCCAGACCCTTTGGTAAGTGACCATCAAAGTTCAATATGCACAAGATGTCTATCCAGATGGAAATAAAAGGAAATTTACCTTTTATTGCAGAATTGATTTGGTCATTAAAGCCATAGGGATTGCTCCTTCATTTTGTCAAATATTCATGTATTTTGGGAAATCTTGATAATGGTCCAAATTTTTAATTTTTATTCCTGGTATTTATAATATCTGTTTGAGTATTATTTACAATCATGGTAATAAAACGCCTGCCCTTCTTTTGAATAAAAATTACCTGCTCCCAAATTCAGGAAATTAGAACCTAATAATCCAACTTTTCTAGTGTCTGCTTTGACCCCTTCTTTCTAATCTGTCTAACCCAGCAATTAGATGCCCAGATGGTAGTTAGCTTAAAGCTTCTCTGTTTTCATTAGTTCTCATTGAACTACTGTTCTTTATTACTTCTGATTTGGTGGGGGGAGGGTAGAAATTTGCTAAATTACTAATAGAGTGGATTACCAAAGAAAATTATCCTTTGCAGCTTCCAGATCAAGAATGAAAGAAATTTCTTTAAAACTAGCTTATTTTCTTTGTGTTTTTTATTGTAGACTTTTAAATATGATCGCTACCTTGATGAAAACGGGAAGACAAAGACTGATTTCTATAGAAATGGAGTCAGATTAAAGTATTACTACATGCCCTTTGGATCAGGAGCTACAATCTGTCCCGGACGACTATTTGCTGTCCATGAAATCAAACAATTTTTGATCCTGATGCTTACCTGTTTTGAGCTAGAGCTTGTGGACAGTCATGTTAAGTGTCCTCCTTTGGACCAGTCCCGGGCAGGTTTGGGTGTTTTGCCACCATTAAATGATGTCGAGTTCAAGTATAAATTCAAACATTTGTGAAAATATGGTTGCAGAGAGAGTGCATTAGATGATGTTGCCGGACTGCAAAACACCATTGGGTGTCTGTCCCTTTGGACAGATGCATTTATTGGTAGCAGAATTGATTCAGCTGCTCCAATTCTGTTCGTTGATGCTCATGTGTGAATCTTAACATTTCATCAACAGTTTCCAGACACGACCTCAGACTGTGCTAGTGAAAAAAAAAAATAGTTTCTACAAGTACAATAATTTTTTCTCATTTGAATAAGTCAATGAATGCTCATATAGACAGGGACTGAACTTCATTATTTTCAGAGGAAAAAAGTCTTTTTTTTCCCAGAATGAAGATATCCCAATTGGCAGAATTGTTTTTCCTAAGGAAACTGCCTTATTTTTATGAAACTCACATAAGAGTTGTGTGAAAAAGGTACAAATTATGAAAGAGGTACAAATTCACGCAATTGTGTGAAAAAGTATAAATTATGAAAAAGGTACAAATTCACGTTTTAGTGAAAATGCACGATTTTTTTTAATACAAAGAAAACGTTTTTCACCTCCTCTATATCTAGTATTCAGGGCTTCTAAAATGATGATCTTGATGTCCTAAAAGAATGAAGATGGTTTAATACATTTTAATTTATTTTTGCTGGAAACTAATTATGTTAGGTTTCAACTATCATCTATAATTTCTGTAGATTCCACATCAATGAAACTATTCCAGAGAAGGCAGTTTTGTTGTTACTATTAAACATGTATCAATAAAAAAAATGTGCTCTCTTGTGATATGTTTTAAAATTGAAACTGAATGAAACTGGTCATTTAAAAACTTTTGATGGGAAACATGCAAAGTGTGCGATAAATGTGGCTTGGCACTGTGCTTTATTTAAATACTTTTTATCTTGAAATGACTTCTAGTTGAAAGAAATGTAAGACTATGTGATGGTGTTTACTGTGTAAAACAGCACTTTGGTAGAATATTTTAAGTGTTGATATTTTGTGTTATAGGCTACTGGAAGCACTTCAGACTATATTACAGTTATAGTATTCTTATTGACATGTCTGTATGTATTTATATGTAAATTATATTTATCTTTTTTCTAATACTATAGATATTAAGAAAATATTTTAACATTTGATGATTTTGAAATGATTCACTTTCCAGAAATAAAAGTGTGAAATGTTATGTTTTAAATTTTTATATATTCAGATAAAGCTTTATTCAGAATTCCTCTTAGAAAAATCATATAATCTCCATGTCATAAAATTCAATAGAATTTTTTAATCTAGTAATTTAATATTACCAATGAATGATTTATGCAATTATTTTCCATATCAAGAAAATGAAGCTCATTTAGATGTAACTCAAGATTAATAAAATCCTGTTTTATAACAAATATTTTTAAACTTTCTTTGGTGTATTATTTCTCATATAGTTAAGACTTGTCAATTGATAGAATTATAGCCAAAGTTGGCCCTCCACTTGTTTTTATATATTGAAAGCTACAAATGATTTTTGCATTTTTAAATGGCTGAAAAAACCAAAACTATAACAATTCATGATATATGACAGTTACGTAAATTTCCTTGCCATGCCTGAAAGTAAGTTTTGTTGGGACATAGGCATACCCATTTGTATTTTTTTCTGGAGCTGCTCTTGCAATGCTACTGCAGAGCTGAGTAGTTGCAACAGAGACTGTGTAGTCAAAAAGTCTAACATATTTACTATCTGGTTCTTTATTGAAAAAGTTTGCCAACCCCTGTAGCATGGCAATCCAAAAGCTAATTTGTACCACAATTCCATAATTAAGTTAATGAACATGTAAGTTATAACTTAACTTATTAGCTATACATTAATTTTTAAAAATGTACTAGTGGGGCCTCCCCGGTGGCGCAGCGGTTGAGCGCTGCCTCTGCATCGCCGGTTCAATCCCCGGCTGCTCCCCGGCCACCAGAAGAGGGTCCCATATGGCGCGCAGACCTCTCCTGCCGCCGGCTGCTCCCCTCAGCAGTGTACTTCGGTCCTTCTGCCTGCTCCGCTCCCCGCTCTGGCTCTGGTGAATTCTCTCACCCCCCCACGCTTCTGACTGTACCCAGTGCTTGTATAAATAAAATAAAATAAAATAAAATAAATCTTTAAAAAAATAAAAATGTACTAGTGTATGAAATTTTTTTTCATTTTTTTAAAGACAGTATGTAAGGTGACTACATTAAAAAAAGGTAATTTTCTTGTAAGAAACCTTAAGTTAGAATTTTAGTGACAATTGAAACATTCCATTTAGATAAGTTATCCTTATTTGTAACAAGGGGCTAAAATAAAATATACAAGTGTGTACCTATACATACATACATATATAAATACATACACACACACACACACACATATATGGTAACTTCTTGTAAGATCAAGTAGACTGAGAGAGATATTTCAACAGTTAAATTTACTCAATCTGGTTTAGGTCCCAGATTAAAAGTTAACCTGTGCCACCTCACTTTGTCCTCATGAGTCTTGAAGTGCCTCTTACTACTGCCCCTATGTTACAGAGGAGACAGAGGGAACTCTAGGAAGTTCGAGTCACTGGGCCCAGGTGCAGTGCTGGCAGGTGGCAGAACTAGGAGTATTATGGCTCAGGTTGTTCTTACTCCAGCACTAGCATTTTTCACTCTGTCAAGTAACAGACTCACTTGACTCAGGTCACTGAGGTAAATGACAGTAAACACAGTCTGTGATGGTACTTCTGTCCTAAAATCTCCACTGTTAGGGCACACTCTCTAGCTAAAATGGGAACATACTGCAGTTGTTAGGAATGTTAGGAAACTGAGGATCCTTACCTTGCAATGACTCAAAATAACCCTGAGAGTAGCTGCCGTGTGAGAAAAAGCCATAAGACAATATTAAACTCTGCTCTTTCACCACAGAAGGCATTCCTTCAACTCACCGATAGCATGGAGTTGTCACCTGTGGAGTCTGTTAGGATCAGTATTAGACATTGTTGAGGCAATTGGAATTAAAACTTTAGTCTTGGTCTCATTACTAGATCAATAGAAAACAGACTGCACTGACTAGCCTTTTGTCTGCAACCACCTTGATTTATTCCATTTCAGAGGCTCAGACCTAAAAAACGATACCAAAGCAATAGCTCTGCTGCTTCATAAAATCTATTTACGACCGTCCTCTCTAAGATCTCGTTTTAGTTAGAAACTGATATGCAGTGAAATAAGAAGTGATTTTACAAAGGTTGCACAGCAACCTTATGGGGCAGGCCTGGGTTCTTAGAAAGATTATAGCTGCTGAGTAAGCAGTATACATTTAATACTAAGGACATTTCCTCCAAATTAGAGGATGAGTTGTTGTAGACTTCACAGGGTCTGTTTCTTTCTAAAGTTATGTATGAAAAGATTTAGAAAAATAAAAGAATAGTCATGAACTTGAGCATTACTCTACTTATGTAAATTCCACACTTTATTAGAAAAAGTGTACAGCAACAGTTTTTTAATATCCTTGAATCCATTTGCTAGAGAACAATTTCTCAGTGAAAATAACCCATCAACACATCGGACACTTAATTAAAACATTGATGCAGGGGCCTCCCCGGTGGCACAGCGGTTGAGCGCTGGGTTGCAAAGCTGCCCGCAGCCTCTGCAGCGCCGGTTCAATCCCCGGCTGCTCCCCGGCCACCGGGGAGGGTCCCACATGGCGTGCAGACCTCTCCTGCCGCCCGCTGCTCCCCTCAGCAGTACTTCGTCAGTCTGCCTGCTCTGCTCCCAGCTCTGGCTCTGGTGAATTCTCTCACCCCCCCTTACCCCCCCTTCCGCTTCTGACTGTACCCAGTGCTTGTATAAATAAATAAAAAATAAAAAACTATTAAAAAAACCCCAAAAAACATTGATGCAGCATTTAACAGTTCTAAAGCAATTTATCAAGGTTTAACAGATTGACAGTTTTAAGAATTATCAGAGTTTGTGTTTGTGAGAGAGTTTGAGAGAAGATAGGGATTACAGGGGAAAGGATGCCGCCTTCCCCACTTGCTATTTTGCAAAATTTCAAACACTGAGAACAGGTAAAGAAGGCAATAAATACCCTTCACTTTCATCTAGATGAAACTAAAACTGCTCATTTAGATGAAACTAAACTGTCCACGCTTTTTCGTAATTCGCTTTTACTGAGAAAGATGGTTTGAAAAATAATTTGAGTTAAGGTGTCCATTTATAACTTGTTTTCCCTTTATGTTCCAAACTTGGGGTTTTATTCTGGCTATTTTGAATCTCTGGAGAGGAGGAAAGGTGAAGAACCTACGGGTATGGCTTATCTTCCGTAAGATCAACAAAGCTACTTCTAAATGTGGTCTTTTTCTTTTTACTTTTCTGGCAAGAAAAAAAAACGGAAATTAATATAAACTTCCCTGGAAATAGAAATTGTTTTAAGATATAAAATATATACATGTAGGAAATATATGCAGGGAATTTTTTAATTAAATTAATTAGTTATTTTTTATAAGAAATTTTTTTAATATTTATTTATTTATTTATACAAGCACTGGGTACAGTCAGAAGTGCGGGAGGGTGAGAGAATTCACCAGAGCCAGAGCTGGGAGCAGAGCAAGCAGACTGAAGTACACTGCTGAGGGGAGCAGCGGGCGGCAGGAGAGATCTGCGCGCCATGTGGGACCCTCCTCCGGTGGCCGGGGAGCAGCCGGGGATCGAACCAGCGCTGCAGAGGCTGCGGGCAGCTTCGCAACCCAGTGCTCAACCGCTGCGCCACCGGGGAGGCCCTATGTAATTAATTTTTAATTGAGATAATATTGGATACGCCAATCAGGTATCACCACTATTATGCATCCACCACCAAGTCACACATAATTCAACAGGGTGCTTCCTTGTCTCTTTCTTATAGGGAAAATTTTCCTCAGGTGAGAATATGTTTAGGGAGAAAGTCCAGGGAACCTGGTGAGGATATCCCTCTGGGATGTTCTGAGCTCAAGCAACACGGTGTGTTTGGCAAACACCTTCCTCGAGGAATGAGGTACTTTAGTTCACAAGTGAGGAAGGAGGGCTGCTTTTCCCTAGTGTGCTTTGGTCATGGAAACAGGACAATCAAGCAGAGTCACCTGTGAGTTTCTCAGAAATTTGGCTGTTAGTACCTTTACTTCAGCGTTTTGGAGCGATTTCAGGGAATGTGAACTGTACAAGGAGAGTCATTCTTGCATTCGACTGCACAGCCCAGAAAGCTCCTAATCAGTGTCTTAACACCAGTGGGACCTCAAGTACTTGAAGATAGTGCTGGATGGTGATTTGTATGGAGTAGTTTCATACTCCCAGGTCTCTATTTTTCTTAGTCCAGACTCCAGCAAGTCACAGTCTGAACTGTTTGGTTTCTTGCTTTGCCGGCAGATGTTCACATCTATTGATCTCCAATGCTATCAAAATATTGGGAAAGAGTTACCCACAGAACGAGAACACGGCTGATCTGAACTCAGGTCTACATTGTGTGCTGAGGCAGGTTTTCTATTTGCTGAAATAAAGTGTAGGAGGAGAAGTTCTCACTGTGCCATCCACCAGGCTGCTGAAAGATTCCAGAGACAGAGGGCCCACTCAGCCATGTCAGGAAGTGGAACATAGGGCTGGGGGGAGAAGGGGAGAAGGGGGAGGGAGGGGGTTTGTGATCCAGAAAGAATCCTTTGCCTTCTAATCTGTCACTAATTTTCTGAATGCTTTATATTTATACTCTATTTTGTCATTAATTTCCGAAGTGTTCAACCTGCTGAGGGTCTAGACCTATTTCTTCTCATAAACGGGCTTTTGCCTATGGACAATGAAGGGACTGGTCCACTGCATAATTTTCTAGAGCTGGAGGATGAAACTGCAATGCCAGTCACCCCTTAGAGTTTTGCTCTGATTATTACTGGGTCAATCTACTTGTCTTGCACACTTTACAGCTGACTGCTAAGGGGTTCTGGCGAATAGGAGGTGGTCACAAGTGCTCTGGGGCACTAAAAACCTGTTCTACAACAACCTTTAAGATCTGCTAGTTGG